AAGAAATGAAAGTATATTAGGTCTGATTGAGTCAGGAAATAATTCTCATTCATTACATTTACAATGCAGCATAAATGCAAATTTATCCATTCATTTATTTATATTAACTGTTAAATATAGATCTAGTGGATGAATTTTGAGATCTATAGGGTTTTTCCTTTTATTTAAATTTTGTTTCAGAATATTACCCATCCCCCCATTCCCTCCTTCACACTCCTGCCTACTTGATTTTTGATGAGTGTTCTTCCCATATGCGCATAAGTGTTTCCTGTGCACATAAGTGTTGATTGATTAGTTCCAATTTAATAGTGAATATATGTAGTCTTTATTTTTCCCTTCTTAGGATACTTCACTTAGAAGAAAGGTCTCCAGTTCCATTCAGGTTGTTAAAAAGGTATTAATTCACCATTTTTTTTTTACAGCTGGTATACCACATCTTATTAATCCACTCATGTACTGATAGGTGTTTTGGTAGTTTCTACATCTTTGCAATTGTGAATTGTGCTGCTATAAACATTCGAGTGCAGGTGTCTTTTGTTATAGAATGTCATTTTTTTCCTTTGTGCAAATACCGAGTACTGGGATTGCTGGATTGAATGGCAGTTCTACTTTTACTTTCTTGAGGCATCTCCATACTATATTCTATACTGGTTTTACAGGTAGTCCCCAAGTTACAAACATCTAAATTAAGTACAACTTGCACTTACGAAGAGAGGCTACTATATTAAGTCCCCAAGTGACAAACATCTAGCTAACATATGACTCACATTTATGAACAGAGACTATTACAGGTAATAGGGAACTGTACCTGTTCCAATTTAGATACAAATTCAATTTAAAAACAATCCTATAGAATCTACAGCATTTATAACCCAGGGACTGCCTATACTAGTCTGCAGTCCCACCAACAGTGTGTAAGTGTTCCCGTCTCTCAGCATCCACTCCATCACTTGTTGTTTTGGGAGAGATACACAGGTTTAAAGCCAACAATTACAGAGGAATCACTATGTATAAGATGCTGATCTAAGTCTGTTATGTATATTGTCTCATTAAATCCTCACAACAACTTTACAAAATAGTTATCATTACCCTCAATTTACAGATGTGTAAACTGAGGTACCGTGAATTTAAATAACTTATCCAGAACCACAAATTTGGTGAGTGGCAGAGGAAGGATTCATACTCAGACAGTGTGGTTCCACAGTCTGTGCTCTTAACTACTTGCCTTTTGAAGAGAAAAAAATTAATCTGAAACTAGAATAAATTATTAACACTGCAGTAAACGAGTAATCACGATAGTGTCTGGTCTTTATGCCTGGTACCATGGCAAACACAGAAAATATTTCCACACAATAGAGAGTAAAAAGTAAGGAGGGAGAGACAAACTTGTTAAACTATACCTCTTGCCCAGGTGTAAACTACCTGAGATTTTTAATTGCTTCTTTCAGTTTCTGGTGCTTTACCTTTCATCATCACTTCCATGAATTTCTAAAATAAAAGTGCTATTCATATGACAAAGTTTCCTTCTGTTCATATGTGTGCCTCTGTTCCTTGTAGCTGAGCAAAGGTCAAGACTGTAGAAACCAGGACTCTAATAAAGGTAGAGTGGTCTGTAGGGACAAACTACAAATGGCATTCCTTCTTTCTGAGTATCTCAAGCAGTTTGTCAAAGCCACATTTCCTAAGAAACCAACCATGCCTGCCAACTTCTTCTATAACCACTATCAGGTATAGTGTCTATTTTTGTGTCTACCTACCATAAACTCTTTACTGAATGGTTTGCTATAGATAGTTCTGATATCCAGAAACTTACACCTCCACACTATGAGGCTACTTTTCTGGCAGATTTGGTAAAAACAGGGCAGACACCCCCATTAGGGAGATATGCTGGGGTGAATTTTCCTAATTCTGAGAGAATACGCAAAAGACTAACAGAGATGAAAAGACTGTGGCCAATAACCACAAGACCCAGGTGGATGGAGCTCACTTAAACATCAAGGGTTACGATAGTAGAATGGATTCTCAGAACTTGATTTGAAGTCAAGTTGTAGAAGAAAGTGTACAGACCATAAAATACCCTTGAAAAACCTAAATAAATATTAAGTTCGATCTACATGACTTTGTGTAGTCACTCCTATGCAATTACATGTATGGTAATATACAATATTAATAAGGCTCAGTTGCCAAACACGATTTTACATTACTGCACAGTTTGAGCAGGAAAAGAAAGGGGAGCAAACAGTAGCTCAATTAGTTTAATCCAGGTAAATAAAAAGTATATATTTTGTACCTCTAACAAACTGCCCTTTTAAAAGTTTTCTAATGTCTTTTTTGAGGCCTATGAAGTATTTTCAAATTTTATAAAGAGCACAATAAAATTTTCTATTTAGTGATATTACTAAAAATTACATTTTTAAATAATGCAATTTGTTATGATGGAAATATGTGTATTTATATGATATAATAAAGTCTAAATAAATTTCAATCATGTTTTCTATAAAATGCAATTTCATTAAAGTTTAAATTGACTTAAACTGAGACCCTTTCTCCAAAAAAGTTTTAAAAAAGGAAAAAACATAGACAATTATTTTAATAACAATGAGTTAAAATTAGTTTGTAGCCACCATCAATATTTATTTCTGGATTTAAGAACCTTAATTTAACATCCTTTAAACAATCAGGTATTTAAGAACCTCAACTTACTAAAATAGCTAGGAGAATCAAATACTTTGGTCAATAGATTTATATTAACAAAATTTTATCCATTTATGCTTATTACTGTGAAAAAATGGTCAAGATAGTGAATGGTATTTAATGATGAAACCCTAGAAATTTTCTTATGAAAGACTTCTGGGGAAGGATTCAAAGATAACCATAAATGTTTACCTGGTGAAAAGCATTAAGGGGAGAAACAGTTTGAAATTAGATTCAGAGTTCTATTTAAAAAAACATATAACTAGCTCACTGTAACTTTTTAGCTTCAGTTATGGGTAGGAGAGAAGGAGAAAAGTTAGTCAAAGAGTGGATTTCCATGGGAACAAAATAAAGAAGGGTAGCGCTGAATCTCCACTGATTTTTCAATAGATGGCAATATATAACATTATGGGGCTCTCTGGTAAACTGGGAGTAGCTACAGATTAATCAGTGGTGGGGTTTTTGTTGTTGTTTTATTTTACGGAGACAAAGTCTCACTCTGTCACCCAAGCTAGAATACAGTGACAAGATTACAGCTCACTGCAGTCTCAATCTCCTGAACTCAAGTGCCTGCTTCAACCTTCTATTGCTTAGGATCACAGGTATGAGCTACTGGTCCCAACTAATCTGGGTTTTTAAAATAGAAACCTACTTTACTACAAAATAACTTTTCAGTGTATACAATATACACTCCAAAAAATAAAATTAAAATTAAGAATAGCATTTCACATTTGACCTACAGATCAAGTAGCAGAAAGAAAAGCAAGATATACTTTAGATTATGGCTCTGGGGGCAAATTTAATTTCAGGATTATGAATTACTTAAGTGTTTAGATATTTTATTATGTTCTTTTCTCCAAAATCCTACATAGTATTCAAGTAGAAAAATCTTCAAAGCTTCAAAAAGAAATAAATATAAGGCACAAAGGCACCATTTAATGTATTCTAAGAATAACTTGTTCTTATATAATAACACAATCCTCTGAAAGACAATAATACAATATTAGTAAATTGTATTGTTAGTTTATCATCACACAGAACTACTCACTCTAAAATCTAAACAGGAAACCTACTCCTCATATTCACATTATGATTAGAAAATTAGAAACTTTTAAAGGTGAAGGATATTGAGACATTAGTTAAACTATCTTCAAGATAAAATAATGTGTCCAAGATTAAACAGCTAGTTCATAGTGGAGTTGATGGTAAAATTCAAGTTTTTGAGATACCCAGCACAGGTTCTTTACATGACATTGCTGAGAATGAATCCCAAAAGTGAGACACAAAAAACAAATGTTTAACAGTCTCTTTATACATCTCTTTGGATTCTACATGACTATCCCAGTTCTTTCCTAAGTATTTAAAATAAATTAAACACAGCCTAAACAGCCAAATGCAACAGCAAAACCCCATATTTTAAAAAGTTAAAATGCTTTAACTCAGCATTTTTCAATGCACAACAGTGCAATCTATTCTGAGACTGAATTCCAATCACATATTCAGTTTTCCTTCCACTTCTTAAGCCAATTTGCTTCTAGGGTTAAGTACTCATAAATTTTACGCTTGGTCTATTTTCCATTGGTTAATTCTGAGAGAAATAAGAAGTAATTCATTATTCATTTAAAGAATAGCCTTCTGGAAAAGTATCTCTGAACCTCAACAGTTTACCAGGGAGTCTGAGAGCATAGTATTTAATTTCATTGGAATGATTTGATCTAATTTTTCATCTCTCATTCTCAATTTTATAAAGTTTTTGTTTTTGCTGGAAAAAGCTCTAACCTTATGACCTTTCAGCGCATTGGTCCTATTTTCTATTAATTGTCAACAAAGCAATGTTATCCGCTATGTCTGTTTTGATATGCTTCCAAGAGACAGGGCAACTGAGTTCCTGATGTAAAGGGCTGATGACGGCTGGAGCAAGGACGGGGGAGGGGAGGCTGGAAGCTGATGCTCTAAAAGCTACTTCCCTCTCAGAGCAAATAAACAAACACAAAAAGAATGGCCAGATAAGTGCAGGAGCACCCAATGAGGCACTCCAAGCCCTTTCTTTAGTAAAGAGTAATGCAGCCAGTCCAGGTGCAGAAATAACACCAAGTATACTTCCATAAGTGTAGAAAATACAATAAATCCCCAAAGTAGGGCAGTTTATAAAGAGAATTAAATCAACTATAAAGGTATTAGGCATTATATTTCCAAGAAAATAAGTTAATCTTCATTTCTCTTAAAAAATAGAGTTCATGAAAGAAATTATTTAATCTGCCAAATTATCTTTATAGCGTTAATGAAGACTTGCTAAACAAACTTACTCTAGATGAATCATAGGAGGGGCTTGGTTGACCACTTGTTCCCCAAGATGTCGTTCCTCCTCGTTCATCCATACCTAAGAATAGAAGAAAGTGAAAGATATAAATCCAAAAAGATATTTTAATTTTTTTTTGGTATGGTACAGCAAGGAATACAATTCAGCAAATGATATTTTTGTTTTCATACAATACCAGTCCTTGCCTCAGAAACCTGAAGAAATTAAATTACTTTAAAGTGTCTTCATCACTGCTCAACTAATCCCCATACAATACCATATATATATGTGTATATATACATACACACACACACACACACACGTATATTTTAGAATTTAGAACCAAAATATTTCTTTGAAGACTTAAATAGGGCATAATCTAGGTCTCTCAATATCTGCCCCTATTGCATTGCTACCTCTACTAGTAGATGAACCTCCAAACTTTCTCTGGTTTACTACTGCCTAAATGAAAATATGAAGAATTTAGCTCTTATCAATAAGCCCTAGAAAACAAAGCAAGTCAAACTCCCAATCAATTTAACAAAATTAGCTTCTATCTGAGCAGTGACTAAATGTTAACTGGAAATATCAAACTGAACTGAACCATAATAAATCAACATTAGTAATATCAAAACTAGCCAAATGACATTAACAAATCACCCTAGTAATTTTATGATTAACACTTCAATCTCTTCTTAAACTACACACAATCTGATTCTAAATAAATAGGTCCAGTTTTATAAAACGTTGCAAAGGAAAATCAAAATGAGAAAGGATCAATAATCACTACTAACAAAAAAATGTACTGTGATTCTTAATGTACCTTTTGATGCTTGGGCTCCATGATTTTGACCTCCTAATTATTCCCTAGAAAAAGCTGAAAGAGTTAGAGATCTCTCAATCCAGCCATTTATACTTTTTCTCCTTTGGAAACAGCAAATTTTTCCATCCTTGATGCCTCAGAGGTCATACTTTCCCAAAGCCCTCTGAGCTTCTTTCTATGACTTATGACAGACAGTTGGCTTCTTTGTTTAATTCTTGCATGAAAACAGACTAAATGTTACGATAACAACTTTCTGCTAAGTTCAGAACTTCCTCTGTTTCAAAATATTTCTGGAAATCCTCTGTGATTTAGGTGAGAATGTGGTGTACAAAATTAAATGCCACAAATTTTCTAATAACTTGCCATGACTCCCAAGGCTCTTTTATGAGAGCAGAATTGCCAATTAAAGCAATAGGTGACAAAAACATGAAAGGGAGGGGGTCAGTTTCCAAAGCTGGATTAGTAATTACAAATTCAGTTATTGGGGTCTTAATTTATTCTTTCTATGAATCTTTACTTCCTGTATCAAGTGATTAATGTAGATTTTAAAACTTAAAAAAAAAGCATTAACAGGGAAGTTTGGACAACATTTCAAGCACAAGCTTTGAAAACAGAGACTATGTGTAAAAATACAGTGTTTTGCTTATTCTTAGAGAATTCTTATTAAAGCTCCAAATTTAAGAAAAGTTGGGAAGTGTTACATAAAAAAACCTTGTTAGCATCATTCTAATATCATCCGTTTTTCTAAGCATTTTTACTTGTCATCAGCACCACACCAGCAAACAGGGTTCCTATGAGTCCATATTCAAGACAAAGGCCACTACTAGTATTAACCTACAAAATCCTCTAATATATAACAATGTATGAAACTGCAACTAATTTCATGAAAAGTTGCATACAAAAAAAAAAAACCCTCATACTTTCCCATCGACATAAGGGAAACTTATTTTGGTAAATCTCGTCCTAATCAAAAAATATATATCCAATTTATTCTTTTTATGGCTGAATTTTCTTAAATCAAGTGATTAATAAATCTGGGCCTTATGTTTATTTTAAACACATCTGTAACAGAAAATATACAAAAGATAGGTGTCAGCTACTGATAACATCTCAGGCAAAATTTAAAAGAGATACATGAAATTCTGTGAAACCACATTTTTTTTTGCAATTTTTATCAAGTAACTCCTAATTCCTTCCATAAAATGAAGGAAAAGCAAAGTTTAAATAAAATGATAATTAATGAGGTGATTGAGCCACCACCTAAAGAGCACTACACACCACTGATACTGGATGTGAAGGGGGTACGATGTTCACAATGTTCACGATTCTGTAACATTCAATGTTACAGAATGACAAGGGTCTGACTAGGTTTTAAACTCAGAGCTCTGTAGTTTTATTGTTAACATAACCAGACTCTGAGTAAAAGGTTGTGGCTGGCACTGACAAAGGCAAGAGTCATCTTTTAGCATCAATGACTCCTTTCTGCTGAAGACAATAGTTGTACAAACACAGAAATATGACAGGAATAATAAACCTTCCACAGCTTCAACCATGAGACCAAGGTAGGAAGAAAAAAAAAATTATTCACAGAAGAAAAATGTCTTTATACACAAATTGACCAAAATTTTAAAAACTATATATTGGCAAGAAATATACCATAGTTGCAACATAGTGGCAATGGAAAAAACACTTCTGTAATGTCTAAACTATCATTCTCATATATTTCCTTTCATTCCCATTTCTAGTACACGCATGCCAATTTGTTAATTTTAGACTAGTTCCTTGATTCAGACTAAAAAGGTAGATGTAATCTAACATTTAGTGATAATTAAATGGTAGAAACAATTTGAGTCTTGTTTGACTTTCTTATAAATTAATCTATTCTATTTCTATTCAACAGGATTAAAAGGGATATCAATTTAGGCTCAGCACCCGTAGCACAGTGGTTATGGTGCTGGCCACATACACCAAGGCTGTCATATTCGAACCTAGCTTGAGCCAGCTAAAAAACAACAATAGCAAGTGCAACAACAACAAAAAAATAGCCGGTCATTGTGGTAGGTGTCTGTAGTCCCAGCTACTCGGGAGGCTGGGGCAAGAGAACTGCTTGAGCCCAGGAGTTTGAGGTGGCTGTGAATTGTGACGCCATGGCAATCTACCAAAGGTAACATAGTGAGACTCCATCTCAAAGAAAAAGGTGGGGAGGATAATCAATTTAACATAAAGACTCTTCCCTTTTAATCTTTTATATCTATAATCTCTAAGTACCTGCTTCTCTGATTGGAAACAGGTATATAAAATCCAAAATATACTATATTGATTCCATGTGCCTATTTTTTAAATCTTACATGCTATTTTTAACATTTTCCAATCAATAACATTAAATTTTAGAACATATATCTATAAATAATGGTTTGTGAATTTAAAAAAAGGAATCTGCCTCCTTCTTTTGTAAAAACATTTAGGAGGAAAAGTAAGAACAAATCATAAATTACTATATACACAGGCAGTTCTCTAAGAGGTCAAATTTTCAAGGTGTCAGACAGTAAGACTCTTGGAGGAACAGGTAAACTTCTTAGCCAAGTCTAGCATCTGGTATTACTCCCTTTTCTATAAAGAATACATGCATTATTCTACATGCTATGCTCCACTGCCACCACCACTAGTTTTTGATTAAGAGTACTCTGTTTTTGGAGTCAATCAAAAACCTATCTCCCAGCTTCTATCCCCCTCTTCCCCTTCATCAAGCTAGCACAGAGTCCTATGGGCTTTTCCAGGTTTTAATCTACTAGCAAAACCTGGAAACAGGTTTTGGGGGTTGAATGCCTTTTCTATGCCCTAAATACCTGCCCTCCTCAATGTGGGCTCTTGAAACAGAGAGTATTAACACGACAGAATATGAGTATGTAAGGCACCACTCAAAGTTTGGTGAGGCTCAGACAAAATCTGCCTTGAGGTAAAAAGGGAGAACCAGGAGCAAAGCTGCTCCTTCTCTTCCACTTGCCACTATCAGACCTATCACGAAAGAACCTGCCACTCTGAACTAAGACGGGGTAAAGTAAGAACAAAGACTGGGACTGGGAAAATATTTCAGGCAGTAGTGGAGAATCTTGAGAGTTAGGAAAAATGAAGAGAAAAAAACTGAGATACAAAGAATAGAGAGAGTAGAGGAGTAGTTAGGCTATCCTTACAGCCTTTGCTACACCGCTTGGTACGGTTGGCTACCTTTGGCTACAGCGCTTAGGTAACACACACAAGAGAGTTTAACCCTGTGGGAAAAGGGCAATATAACATCAGGAGGAAGAGCACAGAGACTCATACACAAACACCCCTCCCTCCTTCCCCCATCTCACTCTCTCTGCCTTTAGTAACACTAAAATCAAGTTTTCTACCTTAACAAATACAGAGTTAAGTTTTTTTATCTTAACAAGTACTTAACAAGTACTCCAAAAATATCAAATCCCAGCACTGTCACAAATAAGACAAAGGTAATATGCTTTGCAGGATTGCCATCTGCTGTAAGGGAATTCAAAAAACAATGAGATGAAAGAAACCTGACTGGAGATACCTCTATCAGATAACCAAAGCTATGTATGTGTCTATTTG